AGCAAGAACAAAATAGATGCATGCTAGATTGTTTGAAAAATTTCCGTATAAAAATTTCGATATAGTTGCAAGTGGCATATTCCACGATAAGATTTTAAAGATTGTATAATTAATGTATTTCAGAGTTGGGAAGTAACGCGCATTACTCTTGCAATGCTGTTACCATTATTATTTTTTTAATATAATGGTTGTTACTTTTTTCTGTCTGTAATGATAACGGTAAAATCACATTTTTAAGACTATGATACACACACAAAATTGGAATAATAAGACGTAAGTAGTAAGTAAATCAATTTTGGATTTGCTACTGCTTACATTGTTGTTTTACGTCTATTGTAATTGACCGATCCGTTTACTGCTTAAATTGTGTCAAATTGCTCTCTACTGTGATTGGCTGATTCACTGTTTACGTTTTTATTGTAGCTTTTATAATAATAGTAACGAATTCAGTCACTTTTATCTTTACTGTTATTTTTAGTTTCCCTTATCTTTATATCACACAGAAAAATATTATTTTATCGTTAAGAAAAATAATTATTCAATTTTCTTTCTTTCTTTTAAGTAACGGTTATATATCTTTAATAAAAAATATTTTCTTGATAAGAATCTTAAAATGTACTTGTCACAAATTTTAGAAAAACTAAAAAATTATTATGTATATATTTCAAACAGGAATTTATTTTCTTTTAAAGAATATTATAAAATTGATTGAAGAAACGATTTCATATAATGAGTAATGATAATAATTATTTTTTATGAAAAGTACATTAACAGTAACGCATTATTCTTATAAAATAACGTTATCAGTCCTGATGCATTTAACTATGACGTTAAGATAATCACTATTCTGATGATGTGTTATTAGTTAATTATTAATAGTATCGAAAGTTAGAACTGGGAGCCGTAAAAATAAAAATATGCAATGAGTAATCGCTGGTCATGCTTCCTGAGCGGAATTTCAAATCGATAAAACTTGTTGTAATTCATGAATAAATATCGCTAAACTAAATTTTATTTATATTTATATGTTCTCGCAAAAGTTTTATCTTTTGTACAATTTATATTACTTTCGATATATCTTATATAATGATAAAGTAAAATAATCTCATTCTTTAACATTGACAATTTTCATTATCATAATTTGCATTTACAATTTAGATTAAAATATAAAATTTAAAGAAGTTTAAAACATAAAATTTAAACTTTATTCATGATTAGTCGGTCTCCATTTTTTTCAAAAATTTATAGAAAATTAATTTTTTCATTAAGTTTTATATATGCTAGATAAACTTAATCGAGGCACAGCAACGATTACAGCTACCAATAGACAGTCTTCAGGCAGGAATTACCGGTGGTGCACCCGCGTCTTCTGAACTCTTCAAACGAATACGAGACGTGCTAGGCTTTAATGATATAATGGTAAATTCAATCAAAGTCATGGCTTTTCAATTCTTCAGCTTTAATAATTATTCATCATGATGCTATTATATGATTGAGTAGTATTATATGATATCATATCACGTTTTATCTATCAATAATATTAAAGACGCACGTACAATTATTTTATATAATTTGACATCAATCTATAATTGTAATTTTATTAGAAATTTTATTTCCAATAAAATTACAGTTTCTTTTACTCACACTGCCCTTTCTCGCTGTTAACCGATGAATTGGTTGGATTATGACTCATTATCACTATGTTTTATTGTTCGATAAATTAACTAAATATAATATGATTGCGTTTATATTGACTATTAAAAATTGAAGTTGAGATGATCTTTTAAATATGTTAATTTAATTTTTTTTATATGGGATAATTATATTTCTGCGACTGATGAGGACTAAGTATAGTCAAAATGTATCGATGGAAAATTATATTGTGAAATAATAAATTTTGCTTTGTCACGCACACTCATCTAATTATAACTCATCTAAGTTTAATTATTGACTTGAGTTATTATTTATTATTTGTTTGAAAGTTATACGAGCGTTAAAGAATTGTTTGTAATTTATGTTTTAATATCATACTAATATTTCTGACTGTTTGCTTTCAAAATTCAACTAAATATAACTTATATAATTATTGTATTATGTTGCGCAATATGATAAGATACTTGATATGACGATGGTAAATAAACAACAATATTATTCAATACTCATGCAGTGCATTAGTTTGCTCGATATGATTAATCACGTTTGGTTATCTAAGATTAACTTAGTTATGTTATTTATGTTAATTATATTAATTATGCTGATTTATATCATTAATTTATATATACATTTATCAAGTGACCTTACACTGAAGCTGATTTAATATTCAAAACATTATTATTGCAGTTATATATTTCAGTTAATATTTTTATAAATATAAGAGACATCCAGCTTGGCTTATAGTATATTACTTCTGATCATTTAATATTTGTATATATATATATATATTTATTTATATATTTATTTATGTATTTATTTATATAAGTCCTTGTATTGTGAGATAAATTTTCAATTCCAGAGCATATACGGCCTTACAGAAACAACAGCTATAGTATTTCAGTCGATACGTGGAGAAGATAAATATCTTACCGAGACTACTGTTGGTCATTTGGCGAATCATACTGAAACGATGGTATACGTCAATTTTTTATTCTGAAAATAGTTTTCTCTAACTTTGACTTTTAACATTTTATGATATATATATTTTTATACTTTGCCGATTAGATCGTCGATGAAAACGGTGTGACCGTCCCTTTTGGGGAACCTGGCGAACTTTGGATTCGCGCTTACAGCACAATGTTAGGTTACTGGGACGATGAAGAAAATACGAAAAAGACTTTGACGAAGGATGGCTGGTTGAAGACGGGCGACCAATTTGTCTTACAAGAAAATGGATACGCTATTGTAGTCGGAAGACTCAAAGATATGATTATTCGGGGAGGAGAAAATATTTTCCCTAAGGTGAGTAACATGATTCATAGTGTACGATTTATATTACTCATTTATTATTTAATACATCTTATTTTTCAGTGAAGAGTCGAATTAAACACATTAAATAACATTGATATTTTATAAATTCTATTTAAAAAATAGCAATATCTCAAGCAGAACACATACATTCAAAATGATGTTAAAATGAATTGTAATTTAAAAAATAACTTTTAATAATAATTTTAAAGTGATTTTGATATTATAATGACTTTTGTTCTACTTAAGATTTAAATTTCTCAAAGAGAGATTAATTTCTGTTACTATCGATCCAAATAATTTATATGTAATCTTAATTTTGAGAAATTAAAAACGTATAAAAAAATTTTTTAAACTCAATTCGAAGACTTTACCAATTTCAAATTTTTTTATCATAGGAAATCGAAGATTTTCTGATGACCCATCCCAAAATAATACAGGCACAAATTATAGGAGCATATGACAAAGTGTATGGAGAAGAAATTTGTGCGTGTATTCAACTTCGCGACAGTGCGAAGATGATAAAGGAAGAATTAATAGATTATTGTAAAGGTAAAATAGCGCACTTTAAAATACCGCGTTATGTACAGTTTGTAAATGAATATCCAAAGACTAATACCGGAAAAATTCAGAAATTTCGTCTAAAGGAACAAATGGAAGACAGTAATGTAATACCAAAAACTCCAAAACTTTTGTAACAAACATATAATAATAGGACATTAAAAAAATATTAGTAAAAAAGGAATTAAAAATTTAATTAGATTTATCGCGAGATTTAGGTAAAGAATTAGTTAAGGAATTAATCGACGAAACTAAGATTTACATATATTAAGAATTTACGTGTTATACATAATATTATAAGAAATACTGTTATCAATAATGTTATATGTTTATAGAAATATTAATTGTTAATTTTATTATTATTGAAATATTTTAAATTAAAACTATGTTGAGAAGGGCTATGAACTATAAGAATAAAATTATATATAAATAGTAAGCAGAATATATTAATAGGCGCTAAAAAATATTTTCAATCTTCTACGATCACATGTCGAAATACATACTAACCAGTTTATTAGAATAAACAAATAAAATAATTATTTTTTAAACATTAATACGAAATTTTTATTTTAATGCACTATTGAATATTACTATTAACTATTTAGATATAAGTTATATTTAATTAAAATATACATTAATTATGTGTAAGTTACAAGAGTTGTACATTTACACATATAAAATATAATAATTTATATCTCGTATACAACATAAATTATACTCTTAGAAAAATTTAATATTGTATCATAAGTGTTAAATTTGTATAAGTAATTAATTATTTGTTTTGAATATTAATAGCATTGTTGATTATAATATTAAAAAAAAATAAGTTATAATTAACCACTAATCAATTTAATTTAATTTATATTAAATTTTTTTTCAGAATTTTTGTATGAATTGAAACATTTTGTAGAAAATACTGAGAAAATTTTTTTTGTTCTTATAATTTTCCATATATGAATTTTGAAATATTTTAAGATTTCTAAGATTTCTCTTTCTATATAATTTCTGAAAAAAAAAACCTTAAACTTTTCGATATTTTCTAAAATTTCATCAAAAATGATACAATTAGATCTTAGAAATATTTCAGAATTCACGCATATAAAAAAAACCCAATTTAATAATTTATATATTTTACTTCGCTTGTGCACATACAAAAATTCGTGTAAACTTAAATTTTATTCCATGTAAAATTGTAATTTTGGGCTAAATTTCAAAACATTCTCTTCGAATAAAATTTTTCTCGAAAAACGTTTAGAATATAGCCTTGAAGTATACGGTATAATATATAACTTTGAACTATAAGGTCTGTTCTTTTTAACTAAAATTCTTGTACGGTTCATTTTTTCTCTTTTTCTCTCCAATATAGAGAGAAAAGGAAGAAAGAGGAATCATGCAAGAATTTATTAGCTAAAAAGAACAGACCTATAATTCGCTGTATTGACAATGCCCTGTCGGTAAAACAGTATTTCGATATATTTATGGTCGGATCGTACTCGATATGTTGCCGGGTATTTAAAAGCGGAAATATCTGTTTTTTTCCTGATATAATTGTGACACGCTTCAGCCAGAGGAGTTTCAAGCCATGGCTGAATATCTGGCATCAATTTTTGGGACTGAGAAGGACAAGTAAGCGTAAAATCCATATTTTATATGTCGCTGGTTTACACGAAATAGGTTATAATCATGATAAACTTCATTTATTTCTCTTGCAGAGTCAATTGCTCGTTTTATTTCAAGATAGGCGCCTGTCGACATGGAGATCGATGTTCGCGAATTCACAACAAGCCAACTTTTAGTCAAGTAAGATTTACTCATCTTTTTTCATATTTTATATTTTTATATTTATGATTACAATAATTTGCATATCTCAATGTTGATATATAATGTAGATGTGTATAAGGCTTTTAATGACATATTTATATCTTATCATTAAGATATAACTTTTGTCAAACAACTTTTGTCGGTTAAGTATGTTACTCTGCCAGGGACTGTGGTAATTTTATATAAGAATTTATACCAGTATTTGTCTTGAGAATTTAAACACATTACACTTTAATGCAAATTAAATGTTTAAGTGATCCAAGAAATTAATAGAATTAATTTTTTATTATCACGCGATACATCGTTTATGCAAAGTTTGTGTTCTTCAGACATGTCTACTGCAGAATCTTTATGTAAACCCTCAGAATTCTGCAAAAAGCGCAGATGGATCTCACTGTAAGTACACTATATTGAGTTTTAATGAGAATATTCTATACTGTACGAAATAAGGATTATGTAGTTCGGAATATATTTTACGACAGTGGTTGCAAACGTATCCGACGAAGAGATGCAAGAACATTATGACAATTTTTTCGAGGATGTTTTCATCGAATGTGAAGACAAGTATGGCGAGATTGAAGAGATGAACGTGTGCGACAATCTTGGCGATCACTTGGTCGGAAACGTTTACATTAAATTTCGCAGAGAGGAAGATGCTGAGAGGGCAGTCAATGATTTGAATAATCGTTGGTTTGGTGGCAGACCGGTTTACGCCGAACTTTCACCCGTTACCGATTTTCGTGAGGCCTGCTGTCGTCAATATGAAATGGGGTAATTGTGAGCTAACACGATTTAAAGTACATAATAAATAGGTATGAAATTGTATACGAAAATTGTGTGGATCTAGCGAGTGCACGCGCTCTGGATTTTGTAACTTCATGCACTTGAAGCCGATCTCTCGGGATCTTCGCCGATATTTGTACAGCCGGAAGAAGAGTAAGGGTCGATCAAGATCGCGATCGAGGTCGCGAGGTCGTGAACGTAGGAGGAGGTCCCGATCCCGAGATAGAAGATCCAGATCCAAAGATCGACGTAAGGGAAGAGACGAGAAGGGCAGAGATGGTCGATCCGGTCGCTATTAATAAAATTTTATTCATATCTCATCTATAATTAAATATAATTAGTTTCTTGTTAATATGTCTGTTTATCTCAATTTCGTTTAATTCTTGATATTTGAATAAATTACACAAAATTATTTCTTTATTAAACAAATAATAGGTTAGAAGTTTGCGTAAAAGATTTCATGTCTGATTCCTAATTTTTTTTCTTCAATGTTTTATCATTGTCCTGTGTCGACTTACTGTGGTATTGTGACTCGAGTTCTGTAATAATGTAAAGGCGGCAGCACCGATTCACTGAGGTAAAACAAAAATAAAGTATTGTATTTTTATAAGATGTAATTTTTTGTGTATGCATATTCCTTAAAATAGTTAATGTATTCAAGTTTTTCGTTTTTGCATTAAAATATTGAAAAATATTTTATTGGTGTCCTGATTTTCCTTTTCTATTAAAAAAAAAGATATTAAGGATAATAAAACTATTATATATATTTATTACAAATTGTAATTCATCACAATTTATACATATTCACTTATACTTTTTTATTTTTTAAGTGAGTAATAAAGTTTTAAGATTGTAATGTATTTCTCAATGAAATAATTATTATATTTGAAATAATTAGTATATTTGACATTTCGATTAATTATTTTAATAATATTTTTGAAATAGTATTCAAAACAAAAATAGGGATTTATATATAAAATCTATATAAAAATTCTTTTTTATTGAATTTTCTTTTTCGATGTTTTCTACTAGAAACTTATACATTTGCCACAAGATGTCACTTGTAGTATCTTGTGTCAAAGTTTTATTTTCAGGTGTTATTACTTACATAAAAAAATGATTTCACGAATTGTTGCTTGAGAAACAGCGTTTTTTACAAAAATTAATTTGTTTAAGAAAGAATTTATACAAATTATAAGAAAAAAGATATAGATTTCTAAGTATATTATAAAGTTATGTCATGTTATTCGATATTCAATTGCAATAAAATTTTTGTATAGATTTTATTCCAAGATACTTGTAATAAGGTAAACAAATTTCTGGAATAATTTCCAATATAAATGGTAGATTCTTTCTTAATAGTAGTAGCTTGCAATCTTCGCGCAGTGTAGCTGTTCGCGCGAGCCAAGTCTTTATTCCTTTTTATTCTTATTTTAATCGGTACCCAAGCATATTCCTTGTCTCGTGCCGACCAACTGTTGCTCAACAAGTTGTTGTTGAAAGATGACGCGAAGGTGCAACGGGCGCGCGCGCAGCCAAGCAAGAATAGCAAGAAAAAAAATTAGAAGGTAGTGGAAAAAAGAAAGGAAAAAGGAAAGAAAAAAAATGCAGCAGGAAGAGAGGAAGCGAGAGAAAGAAAGAGAGAAAAAACGCACTTTCAAGGAGAATCACGTCTCTCCTCGAAATCGGTTCATCCGAACCGGGCACGTGTTTCGGCTGGGCCTAATTGCCGGGACTCTCGGGGCCTCTTGCCTCGCTTCAAGACGCCCGAACGGGCGTGCATTACTGCAGCAGATGGTGGTCGTGATTGCAGCTGCCTCCGATGAACACCTGCCTTCTTCTTCGGACGGCTATCGGAATACCGATGTCCGTTTTCTTCGCTGTCATGCACTCACTGTGCCATCGTTTATCTCGCTTTCGAGATTTATCTCCATCGATTTTGCGCTATTGCCCTTTACTTGGAAAAAAAAAAAAATTATAATTCTGACCAGAAAAATCAATATGCGACAAGTTGTAGCCGATTTTATTAATGTTCAACACATTCGTGCTGAGAAAAACGCCCGCGATGTTTACATTCTGCTGTAATACAGCTACATAAAACATGGGCGATTCCGTTAAACATGTACATAATTATTCGTTTGCGTCCATACGTGAAATTCGATTATGGATGAGCGGTAAATGCATCGCGGTCGTCTGTCATGGTTTAGCTATAATACATTACAGCGAATACAGTGTTTTTTCAGATATTTCCATATATTTTTGTAACATCATACATTAAATAAAACGCGTCCGTAAATGTTATCGCACTTCCAAGTTGATTTCAATGTGAATCCATAAAAAATATATCCCGTATACTGAATATATACCTTAACAAATTTTATATTATTGAAAATTTACGGTTGGATTTTCTTTGACCGCGATTGCGAATTTTTTAACAATAGAAAAGGCTCAATTTTCATTTAATAAAGCAATTGACAACGCTATTTCTCGAAAATAATATGATAATAAAATTATTGGGTTGTTCGGAAAGTTCGTGCCGATTTTGAAGGAAAATTGAAACGCAGAAGATTTAAATTTTAGTATACATTTATTAAATTATATAGGTTAGTCGGCACGAACTTTCCGGACAACCCAATATTATAGTTTTTTAAAATTCTCTTCTCCAAAATCATATAATTAATTTATAAATAAAAAATTTCCTAAATGCAATAATATGATTATGAATTTGAAAAGATGGAGATTGTTATAGATAATCATAAATGACAATTTTAATTGATATCAATTAGAGAGAATGTTCTTAGTTAATTTCAATTTAATAATTCCGATATTAAATCGAAATTCTATCAACTAAATGTTCTTTTCTCTATATAATAAATTCTGCGAGAAATTTGCTCAGTCGCGCGTGATACTTGAGATTTCATGAAAGTACAGAAATATTCTCGAGGACGTCGATACGCGGGATTGCAAATTGAAAGCTGAGTTGGAGCTGAGCATGATAGTCCATCCGAGAGTTCAGTATACCATAATTAATCCTGGCAATCCGCCAGAACATCCTAGTCACAAAGGAGAGACTCGTTTCTGTACGCCAGACGATGGCAGTAGAAAGGAAAAAAAAGAGAAAAAAAGAGAGAAGAGAGAGATGGAAATATATAGATAGATAGATAGATAGATAGATAGATAGATGAGTTAGACAAATAGACAAGGCAGACAGATAATGGCATTTATGTTAATATTTTAGAGCAAACCCTCTAAAAATATAGAAGAGAAATGAAGAATGAAAGCAAAGAAACTAAAAATATGAAATAAGAACTATAATATGAATAAAATATAAAAACTGTACACGTTAAATTCAATGTCAAATTATACTAAATTTAAGTAATTTTTAACCATTTCTATAGTTCGCCAATGCTTAATATGGGATTAATTTAATTAAAATAACGGAATTGAACAATTTAACTTAAGAAAATTTATTAAATTTGACTTTCGTTAATTATTTACTAAATGCATACCTATGTTAATATGAGTCGGTATTCATAGTCGGTTCTTATTTTAAGACCATCTTAAGTAATGTCTTAAGATATTAATACGGCTTCCTGATTGGTTTATAACATTTCAAGACTATATTTAAGACAATCTTGAAAATCAACTATGGATGCCGATCATGAACATTGTTTATCTCGAAATTAAATACAAAAATGGATTAATTTATATTTTGACACATACGAAAAATAAAATGTTACTTAATTCAAGGGATTGGCATTGCTTTTTTAGTATCTAGTAATTCAAATTGTAGTAGTTCTAATTATAAAAGTATAATAAAAAAAACAGAAGATAACATTATAAGTAGTAGATAAATATGAAAAATTAAAGAGAGAAAGAGAGAGACGAAGTTACAGAGCAGCTCCTGAAATATGCGCGTAAAAAATCGCGCGTTCACCAAAGTCCGAGAACAATGGATAGCTGTAACCGCGATTTCCCTCGTCAGGGAAACGAGCTAACGAGCTGTCAAACGTCACCGAGTTGGAAGAGTCCCGGGCGTTGTTGAATCTCGATGGCGCGGCGACGGACACATCTTCGATCGGTTACCTCGCGAACCGAGCCTTCCGGAGCAGAACGTGTCCCCGTCTTCCGCTAACTGCGACGGAGATTGGCAATTACATCCACCGAGATCGATTTGATATTGAAAACTGAAAACGTTTCAAATAGCAATCGGGGGGAATCTCGAGTACCACGATGTACAAAACGTTCGGCCCCGATTGGGATTCTCCTTATTTATTTCATAAATATCGTTGTAACGCTCACGTCAACGTGACAATTTTAATTAATGAGTCGTGTTTTGTAATAAGTCGTTATTGTTCACTTAATTATTCTCTGTTCTACTCGTCGTTTTTTAACGAGTGAATAAATCGACTTAACGATAGTGGTACGCGAAAATTGCAATTGAACTTCAGACACGTTGCCTTTGCGACGTAAATGATTTATGAAAGCGAGGGGAAACAAGGATCGTCGAAGAGAGCCATTCCATAAAATACGGATAACTGCGTGTCGAACAACGGCGAGAGGTATGGGAGGAGAAGAGAGTGGAGAGGACGCCTTTCAATCCCTTTATATGAGACGACTCGTTCGATGGTGGAAAAAAATGTTTTGCGGGACCATTTAATCGCAAGGTTCGCAGGCGAGTGCCGCCTGCGAAAAGCCCGAATCAACAGTGCTCTGAAAAAAAAGAGGGCAAACCTCACTGAAATTCGATCACCGCACCGGTTAATCTTGCAGGTGATCCCAACGAAGAGTAAAGCTGCAGAAGCTACATCCGGCGGCTGCATCTTTCGGCGAGAGAGTGAGAGCAAATGTGAATGAATGAGTGAGTGAGTGAGTGAGTGAGAGAAAGAGAGAGAGAGAGAGAGAGAGAGAGAGAGAGAGAGAAAATAAGCAGTAGAAATTTGTAGTACGTGCAACGTGACGACCTAATTGGTATAATAATAAAAATAGCGCGTTTCGGCGTTGCTGTGAATTCTCGTTTATATGCAAATGCATCCCGGTCGCGAACGCTTCAACGGTTATATCCGAACCTCTGCAAAAAGCCGATCCGCTTCTTCCGTTGGCGTTAAAACGATCTAAATGATCTAATCGAGTCTCGTCTGAAAATCTATGCTCGTTGCACGTCGGGTCGTCGTCGCGTCATTCACGTAATTATTTCAAAGGTTGTTTGAAAGAGAGAGAGGGAGGAAGAGGGAGGGAGGGGAGAGGAGGGTGAAAGAGAGAGGGAGAAAGAGAGAGGGAGGGAGGGGGGTGAGT